AAAAAAATTAATAAATGGGGCTACATCAAAATGAAAAGCTTCTGCATGGCAAAAGAAACCAGCATCAAAATGAAAAGGTAACCCACTGCATGGGAGAACATATTTGCCAATGATATATTGGATAAGAGGTTAATATCCAAAATATATGACTACTTCATAAAACTCAACAAAAGGAAGATGAACAATCCAATTAAAAGATGAGCAGAGGACATGAATAGACACCTCTGCAAAGAGGACATACAAATGGCCAAGAGACATATGAAAACATGCTCAACATCGCTAATCATCAGAGAAATGAAAATTAAAGCAACTATGAGATATCACCTTATACCTGCTAGACTGGTTGCATCAACAAATCATCAAACAAGTGCTGGCGAGGGTGTGGAGAAAAGGGGACTCTAGTACACTGCCAATGGGAATGCAGACTGGTGTGGCCACTATGAAAAACAACATGGTATTTCCTCAAAAAACTAAAAATGGAACTGCCATTTGATCCAATGATGCCACTACTGGGAATATATCCTAAGAAACCTGAAACACCAATTAGAAGGAATATATGCACTCCTATGTTCACAGCAGTACTATTTACAATAGCTACGATCTGGAAACAGTCAAAGTGTCCATCAGTAGATGAGTGGATAAAAAAGCTGTGGTACGTTTACACAATGGAATACTATGCAGCTATAAGAAAGCAAACTCTCTTACCCCTGGAGATGACATGGAGGCACCTAGAGAGTATTATGCTAAGTGAAATAAACCAGTCAGAGAAAGGCAAGTATCACATGATCTCACTTATTTGTGGAATATAATGAATACAATAAGCTGTTGAACAAAATAGATCCAGAGACATGGATAGGGAACAGACTGCCAAACCTCAGAGGGAAGGGGGATAGGGGGAATGGGAAGAGAAAAACCAAAGAACTTATATGCATATAGGCATAACCGATGGACACAGCCAACAATGCTATGAAGTCAGGGTGGGTAGGGGTGGGAACTGAGAGGGGGATGTCAATGGGGGAGAAAAAAAAAGGAGAGACATCTGTAATACTTTCAACAATAAAAATATATATAAATAGTGCAAGACTAATCTATATGAACTAAAAGATAAATATCCCCCACATATTAAGAAATAAAGTCAGGCTACATAATAGTAATACTTAGTATAATACCATTTTAGAAAGAGAAAATTAATGTACACCTGTAAATTTGTAATATGTTATACAAAGAATCATTAAAAGTTGTTGACCTAAGGAGAAGGTAAGCGTTTCATCTTATACCCTATTACACTGTTAAATCATTTTAATAATAAGCATCTTTTATAATTAAACAACTAAGCTCTCCAGCAAGGGCTTAGGGAGATGCTTCTCAACTTTGGCTACACTTCAAAACCACCTGGACACTTGTAAAACTCAACTTCCAGACCCCACCCCATCCAACTATGAACCTCTGAAGGTAGGATTCAGGTATCTATCTATCTATCTATATCTATATCTTTTTTTTTTTAAGCTCCATAAAAATATCAAATGTTCATTAAAGTTTGAAAATCATTGTCTTAGACATGAAAACAGCAATGTTTCTTTTATGAAAATTAAAGACACTCATCTTGCATAATGGCCCAGAGAGAAAGCCATCAATTCCAAAAGGAGAATTAGGTTATTTATAGGCAGTATTAAAAATGTTTTAGAAAAGTAAGGACTGATATGCTTAAGTACCTGGGAAGGTTTAAAGCTTAGAACCCCAAATTCTATGCTGCTGTGTAGGGAAGAGAAATTTGCCCTGGAAAAAAGTGCTCCCAGACAGTGATCATATTAGCATTTCACTAGACTCCTATAAACCCTTTCATTTTGACTAATACTGCCCTTGATTAATTGGGGGAAGGGGGAGTATATTTTTGTTACATGTTGATTTCTGGTTTTTAAAATATTCATAAACAAAAATCACCACAATTCTATATTCCTCATGATACTTTAGAATATAGCCTTCTATCTAGATCAGTGGTTCTCAACCTTCCTAATGCCTCGACCCTTTAATACAGTTCCTCATGTTCTATGTGGGCGTATCTGCATGTGGGCGGACCCACCTGGGGATGAATAGAGGACCAGTGTCTTGGTTCCTAAGACCATAGGAAATATGTGTTTTCCAAAGGTCTTAGGTGACCTCTGTGAAAGGATCATTCAACCTCCAAAGGGGTCGCAATCCATTGGTTGAGAACCGCTGATCTAGATGGTTTTTTCTACATATAATTACATGTATAATTTCTCATACAAAAGTGGAATCATACAGAATGCCAGACTTTGTAATCAGCTCTTTTTCATGTACCGTAACAAGAATATCCCTTCATTACCTCAGGATGGGCCCACCAGGACTGGGTAACTGTGAAATGTACCCCAAGGAGCTGAACAAACTAATATGTTTGAAGGAGTTAATTCAGAATAAATACTGCTATACTGAAAGAATGAATCTGGTGTTGGCAAAGTTTTAAAGTTTAAAAAGTTCTTCTTTTCCACAGTGATTAGTAGTCAGTCTAGCTCCTTAAGGCTACTCCTGGCTTATGAGATGAAGGCATGTCATCATGCCATCAGCATGGAGAAAAAAGCTCATGTTCTGTGTGAGCATGTTCCGTATCAGCCATGTCCTGAGTGATAAGAGGAATGGTACTGCCAATGCTGAGGTCTCCTAACACCACTGTAGTTTCTATGACATGAAAACGTGCTGGTCGTCTCATCAAGTAACAGCCTCATTGCTGTGCCACATGCTACAAGTTAAGATTACTTCTGAAATCAGATCATCCTCCCGAATTTCCCAGTGTTATGGAAAGCACCACCATTCTCTTCTCTTGGGCACCTAGACTTGATGCCTTAATGTTTATCTCTAGTTTATCTATCTTTCTTCATCCATTGTAGTTGCCAAGGCCTGTCAATTCTAACTCTACAACATCTCTTCCCTGTCCTCCATCCACTTTCATTTCCATCGATCTAATTAAGATGCTCAGGATCTCCCCAAGAGCAACTATACTACATCATCCCTTCTTAGAGTCTGTCTTTCAGATTAATCTTCCTAAAACCTAAACTGTATCTGGTCACATCCCTTTCCCACCCACAGGTCTTCAAGGACTCTCCACTGTTTATGGGATTAATATCTACTTGCCCGATAGTGACTGAAGGGTTAATTCATTCAATAGCCCTGTCCTTGAGTGTCTGTTATATATGCACAAAGCTAAGTCCTAGTTAGAAAGGGGAGAGAAATATACAAAATAGGAATCTCATCTTCGAGGAACAGGCAACACCATAGCAGAGGTAATGTATACAAATAGCCATAAAACTAAAGGTGGTAAGAGCTTTAAAAGAGGAAAAACACATGTAAGATGGAAGTACAGAGATGAGAGATATTAATTCTGGCCATGAGACTCAAGGAAGACTTCATGGAGGAGGCATTTGAGTGAGATCTTGAACAATAATAGGTGACATTTTAACAGGATAAAAAAAAAAACCAGCAGGAGGGGCATTTCAGTGAGGGGAAGGCCAAGGACACGCAGTCACTGAAACAGCAGAAGCAGCCGCCTACCTCACGCCTTCTTGTTTTGTGAGAAAAGTTAGCCTGCATTCTCTTTTCCATTACTTGTATCTAAAAACCTCCCTAACTGGTATTCTCCTCACTAAGAAGATTCTATTTCAGACCTCTTACATTGTCGGAAATGTTTATTTTTCTTTATTTTCTATTTTTTCTCTTATCTTTTTTCTTTTTATTAAATTTCTGGCACTCTCCCTAATAATGTAACCAAAATAAAATACCTAGTGTATTTTTCCTACAAAACAAAAGATTGATTATGACTTAAAAAACTAAACGGAGAGTCTTTAAGATTCTCATGTAGAGCTAATTTACAAATATGTGGAAATCAAAATAACATCTGTTTGGTGATATGACATCACAGAGATTTGAGGTTGCTTTGCTTTGCTCACTCTCAGATTAAAAACCAAGCTTTAAGTAGTGTAATGTCTACTCAGGTACATCAGTATTAGCATGTGGTATATTTGATGTGATTGCAAAGTCAACTATTCAATAAATATGAAGGTGGACAGTAAATCAAACACCCTACATATATAGCTTGACTATACACTATGAACTATATTCACGTTTTTTCCTAAAAATGTAATGTAAGAAGTGTAATACTTTAAGAATAAATCTAATGTCCAACCACTATGGTGTACACCTGAAACTAACACAGTATTGAATGTGAAATGTAATTGAATAAATTTTTTTAAAATATTGTGATAAGTTTGAAGTGACAGATTACTAGAATTTGTGGAGTGGTCACATTGTAAAGGATAAAAATGTCAAATCACTATATTGTACACCTGAAACGAGTATGACTAATATAATATTGTATACCAAAGCGGTGGTATATATACACAATGTAGTGCTATGCAGCTGTAAGAAATTTAAAAAATGTTTAAAGCAAAAAAAAAAAACTAATATAAATTGATAAATCTGTATAAATAGAATAAACTATGAGTTCTAATTAGAGAGACTAGGATATTTCACCCATATTCCTAACAAGGCATAAAATTTAGCTTTATATATGGAGGGTTAAGATCTGGTCAGCTGTATGTAAGTCTGTTCTCAGTTCTCACCTACAAAACAGCGAGAACGTATTAGTTTCCAGACTGTGTTCTCCAGAGCCTAGAGTCAATTCTCCAAGCCTTCCAACCTCTGATCCAGTCAGAAAACATCTGCTTTTATCTGTTTAAATATTAATCTGTTACACAAAATCTTCTTTAAAGAATTCAGTAACTAAAAATAACTTGAAAATTACTGGACAAAATTTTCTCCTCTTGTCTCTCCTAGTATTAATATTCATTATGAAATGATTTCTGTAAGCTCCTAAATTCTAAATATTTTAAGAGCATATCTGTCCATCTAAATATGTACATTAAAAGAAAATTCATGTGACAATGTAGACTTATTTCAGAAATATATTCAAATAGAAGTAACGCTTTTACCTCGTGAAAATGCCATCCACAATTCCAAGTGTCGCTTCCTCTGCAGGAACATAGGAGCCAATCTGAGCCATGATAGTAATCAGTGCAACTTGTTTTATGTAGGAGCTCTTTCCACCCATGTTTGGTCCAGTAATTATCATTACTCTCTCTGAGTCCCCCTAGAAAATTAAAAAGTAATTTCACTATTGTACCAGAGGGGCTCTTAAGTAATATTTACCATTGATTCCATAAATGGGAATTCATTAGGCAAAAGATAGCTGTGTGGTATTTAAATATTCACCAATTAAGTATCACAGAGGGAAAGAGAACCTCTTTGTCTTCAACCCAATCTGTGCTATTGCAGAAAAGTGAATTCTTAGCAGCACACACAATTGTTTCTAGGCATTCAAAAGGCAACAAGAAGCAACCAGAACTGGAAAACTACCATGACTTTCTCATCTGCTTATGTGTGTTTTTTATATTGCTTACATTTAAAATCTATGAAGATCTATTTGTCTATCTTAAAACTACAGGTATTATAGGTCTAACTACCTAATTTGATTGGCATAACTAAAATTCTGAAAATTTAAATAAAATGAACTGAGTTTTTATATCGGCAAAAATGACACAAGAAATAAAAATATGTGAGTAATCCCTATCTATTAAAGAAGTTAAATCTGTAATTAAAAGCCCTTCCACAAGAAAAACTCCAAACCCAGATAACTTCCCCACTGAATTCTTATAAACATTTAAGAAAGAAATAACACCAATCTTACAAAAACTATTCTAGAGAATAGGACAAGAAGGAACTCTTCCCAAATCATTTCCGAAGGTCAACATAACCTTGATACTAAAACCTGACAAGGACATTACAAGAGTAAAGAAAAATGACAGGCCAATTTTATTTATATATATATATATTTATATAACTTCTTAATAAAATATCAATAAGCCAATTCAAGTATATAAACCATTTAGAGTTTCTGAAGCATACAAGGTTGGTTTACAGTTCAATAGCTAATCAATAATTTACCACATTAATAAAGAAATTATATGATAATCTTCAATGATATAGAAAAGGCATTTGATAAAATTCCATTTCTATTAATTTAAAAAAAAATGTGGGAAAAGGAAATAAAAGGTATAAGGATTGAAAAGAAAATAATAAAACTGTCATTATTCCTATATAGATGTCATGATGTGTTCCTAGAAGATGAAAATAAATCTATAAGAATTATTAGAATCAATAAATGAATGGAACAAGACCTTTTGGTATAAAAGTTCAGTATTTAAAAGTCAACCTTATTTCTACATTTTAGCCATAACTGAATATTTTAAAATGTTATGATCCAATTTAACACAATACCCAAAGAAATCAATTACATGGAAATAAATCTGACAAAATGAACAAGACCTCTATGCCGAAAAGAATAAAACATCATTGAATGAAATTAAAGATGGCCTAATTAAATGAAGGAATATACCATGTCTGTAGACTAGAAAGGCTCAACACAGCAATGTTAAAATAATTTAGTGTAATTCTGGCACAAAGACATACAAATAGACCAGAGGAATAAAACAGAGTCCAGAAACAGATTGATGTGTATCCAGTTTCTAAATTTATGACGAAGTGACACTGTGGCACAGTGGATAATGGATGGTATTTTCAATAATTGGTGCTAGGTTAAAAGGATACCCACAAAGAAAAATGAGAAATGACTTTGTAACTTACATCCTAAACAAAAGTCCATTCAAGGTGGATTAAAGGTTTGAAAGACAAGGAAAAATAATGAGTTTATTAGACAATAACATATGACTTTGGGATGAACAAAGATTTCTTAAACTGATCAGAAATCACAACTTATAAAAGAAAAAATTGAAAAATTAGAGTTCATTATAATTAAGAACTCCTATTCATCAAATGATGCCATTAAGAGATTGAAAGCTGGATATCAGAAGGTACACATATTATACATTTTCCAAACTGAATCCAGTATAAAGATCTACTACCAACCACTAGAGAAATGGTCAAAATTTTTAAAAGAACATGACAAAAGAAAATATACAAATGGCCAATAAACATATGAAAAAATGTTCAACTTCAGATTTTTAAGAAAACACAAATCAAATCATAAAGACACAATACTTCACAGGTACAAAATAGCTGAAATTAAAAAAAAAAACAACAACAGAAATTATCAATATTAAACTTTGGTAAAGATACAGAGTCACCAATTAATATTTGACAAAGGTGGCAAGAGCATACAGTGGAGTAAAGACAGCCTCTTTAATAAATGGTGTTGGGAAAATTGGACAGCTACATGCAAAAAAATGAAACTAGATCATCAACTTATACCATACACAAAAATAAACTCAAAATGGATAAAAGACTTAAATGGGACCCATGAATCCATAAAAATTCTAGAAGAAAATGTAGGCAACAAAATTTCGGACATCATACAGAGCAGAATTTTCACTGATACATCACCTAAGGCAACAGAAACAAAGGAAAAAATGAACACATGGGACTACATCAAACTCAAAAGCTTCTGCACAGCAAAAGAAACAATCATCAAAATGGAAAGGCAACCCACTGTATGGGAGAACATCATTGCCAATGATGTATCAGATAAGGGGTTAATTTCCAATATATAGAGAGTGCTCATACAACTCAACAAAAGGAAGACAAAGAACCCAATTAAAAAATGGGCAGAGGACCTGAATAGACACCTCTCCAAACAGGACATACAAATGGCCAAGAGACATATGAAGAAATGCTCAACATCACTAATCATCAGAGAGATGCAAATTAAAACAACAATGAGGTATCACCTCACACCTGTCAGAATGGCTGCCATCAACAAATCATCAAACAACAAGTGTTGGTGAGGGTGTGGAGAAAAGGGGACTCTAATACACTGCTGGTGGGAATGCAGACTGGTGCAGCCGCTGTGGAAAACAATATGGTGTTACCTCAAAAAATTAAACATTGAACTTCCATTTGACCCAGTGATCCCAATTCTAGGAATATACCCTAAGAATCCTGAAACACCAATCAGGAAGAATATATGTACCCCCATGTTCATAGCAGCACTATTTACAATAGCTAAGATCTGGAAACAGCCCAAGTGTCCATCAGTAGACGAATGGATAAAAAAGCTGTGGTACATATACACAATGGAGTACTATGCAGCGGTAAGAAAGAAAGATCTCTTATCCTTTGAGACGACATGGAGGGAACTGGAAAGTATTATCCTAAGTGAAATAAGCCAAGCAGAAAAAGACAAATACCACATGATCTCACTTATATATGGAATATAATGAACATAACAGTCTGAGGAATACAGTAGACCCAGAAACATGGAAGTAGGGCACAGACTGACATCCCTTGGAAGAGGGGTGGGGGCGTGGGAAGAGATAAACCACAGAACTTATATGCATGATCAATGGACTTGGACAACTAAGCCAGGGACGGGGCGGGGCGGGGGTGGGGAGGGGGGTGCCAATGGGGTAAAAAAGGTAAAATATCTGTAACAAAAAAATAAATAAAAAATTAAAAAAAAAAAAAAAAGATACAGAGCCACTATAATTCTTACGCACTGCTGTTGAGGGAGTAAATTGTACATGATTTTAGAAAACCGTTTGGCAGAATCTATTAGACATATCTGAACAATTCTGCTCCCAGGTGTACATCTAATAGAAATGTATAGGATGTATACAAAAAACACACATGTAAACACATTTGATTAAATTTTTCAAAAACCTCTGCTAAAAGAAGTCACCAAACACAAAATGAAAAGGCCTATAACAAAGGAATATTTCTACATATTAAAAACACCAAGACAATGGAAAAATGGACAAAGGACATGAATAAGATATTTAAGGAGAAAGAAATGCAAAAGGCCAAAAATGTATTAATCAGGAAAAAAAGATGAAATCAGTAGTGTTTTTCAAGAAACCTAAAAGCGATTACTAACATTCATTTGAAAGAATAAAGAAATGTGAATAGTAAAAAAATTTGAAGGCACATTCAACAAATTACCCAAAGGTTTAAAAAGTCTATTTATGCAGCATGTTGGCAGGGATGTGGAGAACATTTTGGAAATGTCTAGTAAAGCTAAAGATTCCGTGTACTGCTCTTTAACACCCAGCAATTCCTCTTTTAGAAATCTACCCTAGAAAAACATACAAGTGTTCAAAAAGATATTTATACAACTGATGACTGTAGCACTGATTGTATTCACAACAGATAAAAAATAGAAACAATCTAATTGTCTATCATTAAGAAAAAAGATATATTTTGTCCAATTATCTACAATGTAGAATATTATAAGATAGATTCAGTGTGACATATTTATGTACATTTTAAAATACACAAAACATTATACATTGCTAAGATACATATATATTAAATATAAGAATAAAAACCATTCATTAGGATAATAAATAATGTCAGGATAATGATTAACAATGAGGGTAGGAGGTGAAAAGGGTAAAAGGGATAGCAGTTAATTAAATGACCTCAAATATATCTGTAACATTTTACTTACTTAAAAAAAAAAAACTAAAGTTAATATTACAAATGTCAATCTTTGTAACATTTGAGTGAAAGGTAAATGGATGTTTGTTACACTGTTTTCTATACTTTTTCTTTTGTGTTGATATATTAGGTAGTTTAAAATTACTTCCATGAATTATCTTAAGATTTAATTATTTCATGGATAACCATCATGAACAACCGAATAACTCTTTTACAAACACATTATATAAGTCAGGAAAATTCATATAACTTTCAAATGACATTTTGTTATTTGGACTTCCAGCATATTACATAGAAATAAAGCGCTAGAGAAAAGCAGACAATGGAAACAAGAACACAGTGGAGAAGTGCCCACAGAAGGGTTCCACATGCCACGCTGAGGCCCCTCAATGTGAAGGCATTGCTGACAAAGCTCTCTGAACTGGAATGATCCACTCAGTGAGCACATGAGGGTGGTCAATGAAAATGCAGGAGAAGCAGAACTTTTTTAAATAAATAATTTAGGAAAGCTATGAGAAAATATATATACCTTATATCTTGGAGACACATTATTCCTTCCAATGCCTTGAAAGATAATGTATTTTTGCTTATTGTTTGATTCAGTTTTTTTCATCCAATGAGAACCAATGATTTCACCAG